CTGCTCCACCTAATGGCTCAGATCTGTCTTGGGTTTCTGGGAGTGCTGGGAGCCAAGCTTGTGTTTCCCACATGGATATAACTCAGCTTGGCTCCCAGCATCCTCACTATTCTAACCAAAGGAATTGTGTGTGCAGTCCAGGTATTCCGACTCCAACTGCAGCAATCATTATTATACCACATTACTTCTAATTATCCTTTTCCTGTTCATGTCTGACAAAGGTGAGTAGGAGAGAACAGTCTCAGGATAGGTGTAATGATGCGCTGCAGTAGAGTTTCTGGGAACTGAACCCAGGCAGAAGTATGACTTCTATACAAACAACCTCTGCAGAGTTTAGGGACCATGCAGTCAACCTTAAACCTAAGAGAGGCATATAGTTGTGGCCTATCACTATAGTGTAAGCTGCCTGGGGATCCTTGCTCATTAAAAGAATTTTAGGGTCATTGGATACTAGTAGATACAGTAATTTGTGCCAAATACAATCTGCATTTGGTAACCACTTCAATGACTAAACCTTTGAAACTTGCAAAAGGTCTTCCTCTTACTGATAGTTAATGCTTATTGGGCACTTGGCCTCATTACTCCTATTATTCCGGGTTTGTATGGGGAAAATGGAAGGCAAGCCAGAGAAATAAATTTTGCCAGTTGTCCTTTTTGTCTCCACTTTAAATGAGAGAATCAATGGAAAGCTGGCCTTAGAGATAGGAAGACTTGAATTTAACTCTTCCTCTGACACATACTCATTGTTGACTCTGGGCAAGGCACGGTGAGTCAGACAGCTCCCCAGGTTACTGGATTACTGGGACGTTGCTGTATTTGCAAGTGGCAAGAATTTCCACTTGAGAAGATTCCCCACACCAGTGAAATCACAATTCTGAATCAATCACTTTATTTTTTAAACTTAATTTTTTTTCAGTTAACCAAAATCTGCCTTTTCTCTCTCCCAATCCTGCCTCTCCCCTTATTGAAAAAGAAAAAAGCCCTGTATAGTCAATTAAAACACATTCCTACATTGGCTATATCCATGTTGTATATATTTATACACACACATACACATATGAATATATACATATGAATATATGTGTTTATACAGACACATATATATGAATACACACGTCTGTATATATCCCACATATACATGTGTATTATATAATGTGTATTCACAAATAAACATATGTATGTGTCCCAATCTGCATTGAGTCCTTCATTCCTCAAAAGATGTATAGTATATTTCATCATGAGTCTTCTGGAATCAGAATTGTGAACCAATCACATTAAATACTATCCAGGTATCCCCTGTATTGCTTTACCACTGAGGAGGATGTTTATTTTGTGGTTCACAAGGGACTGGATTTGATATTTTTATTCCTGGAAGTTATATTTCTTTTTGAAAATTGACAGTCCCCCAGCCCAGGATTTTGCTTGAAAATGTTTTGATCAAATACTAGATATGTGATCATAAACTATATTAATAGAAATGTAATAGCCCGAGCGAAGGCCATGGTTCTCTTGTCCTAATCAGACCATATTTGTAGTCCAAGGTACAGCATGTCCAGAAGATGATGACCAGGACAATGAGAGGATTCAATATCATGTTGTATAGATTTAAAATATGTGCTTATGCTCCATCAACTGTGCCTTGAATTCTTTCAAGCTGACCATCCAACTGTTGGACAGGATATCTTCTGGGCAAAAAGCTTTGCTGCTAGATGCTATGGCCAATGACTGGGAAGAAGGGAGAAAAAGCTCCTTTTCCCCTGCTCCCTTCAAGAGGTAAATAGCTAGGGCAGGTAGGTGCCACAGTATATAGAGCACCAGGGCTCTGGAGTCAAGAGGACCTGAGTTCAAAGGTGACCTCAGACATGACATTTACTAGCTGTGTGACCCTGGGCAAGTCACTTAACCCTAAGATTGCCTTGCAAAACAAAAATAAAAACCAAGAAGTAAACAGCTGAATTCTTTAACAGTTGCTGGCACCTGCCTTAACTGTCTCCTCTCAAACACAGGTTCACTTATGAAAAGTCTTGTCTGGCTTGCATATTCACACCTCTCTGTAAAGGGATAACAGGGTGTTAACACTTTCTTAGCACATCAACAACTCATTATGTATGGTTATATTCAGAGACTACCTCAAATAAGCTGAGGTGGGGAAGGACTAAATCGTCCCATACAGTGGAAGGACCAAGGCATGATTAGTCTGGAGAAGACTCAGGGGGAATGTGATAGCGGTTTCAAATATCTATTATGTGGGTAAGGAATTTGACTTGTTTCTCTTGAGTCAGAGAGTAAAACTAGAACCAGTGGATGAAGTTACAGGGAGGAATATTTTTGGCTCAGCATGATCTTTGAGGATCATGAAGAAAGGAAAAAGAAGGGAAAGGTCTCATTTTTTTTTAAAGAGGTAGTAGTAGAGTCTGTAAATTAATGGCTATTGACCTAGAGCTTTGATGGTAGCACATTGATTTTCGATTTCTGGCAAAATTATAAAATGATTAGTGAACATCTAGAAGAGAAAGCTGTGACCAGAGTTTCATGAAGAATAGATCATGCCAGCTATTGATAAAACTGTAGCACTATTTCCAGGATGACTACTTTTTTTCTAATGGAGAGGGTTTAAGATGCTTTAGAGGTAAACATTTATGTTGAGCAGAAGTATTCTGTTTCAAGGAGTATTTTTATTCTTCCTAATAAATTTGAAAATAAACTTTTTTTTTAACCAACAATAAACAGGAGGTTGTGCCAGGTGATTTCCTTTCTTGACACAGTAACCTAATTTGTAGATTAAGGGGCTACTGTAGATAAAATTTATCTAGATTTTATCAAAGCATTGGATGGTCTCTTATGCAGTTCTTGTGAACAAACTGGAAGCATACAGGTGGTCATTTGAAACTGGTTCAATTGCCTACATAGCCCTTAATGATTCCATACCAACTAGGTTTTGAATGGAGCCCTCCAGGGATATGCTCTTGATCAACACTAGCACAGTGCCTGACACAGAGTAGGTGCTTACTAAGTGCCAGCCGAATGACCTCTCTAACATCTAAAAAATTACTTGGATAAAGGAATAGAAAGCCAACCTGTCAAATCTATAGAAAACACAAAACTGGGAGGATAGGTAGTACACTGGATGATCCAAAAAGACCTCAGTGGTCTAGAAAGTTGAGCCAAATCAAACAAGGTGGAATTTAATAGGAATCAATGCAGTATTACACTTTGGAAAAAAAAAAAATCACCTTTCCAAGTCCAAGTTGTATGTGTATGTATATGTATGTGTAGGGGGGAAGGAATGTGGCTAGACAGCAATTCTACTGAAAAAAGATCTCAGGGTTTTAAGAAAATACAAATTGAATATGAATTAACATCGCATTCTGGCATCCAAAAAAGCTAATTTCAACCTTAAACTTCATTAAAAGAGGTATAATATCCAACACTAGGGAGGTGATGGTCCCACTGTATTCTGTCCTGGTCAGACCACATCTGACGTATGTTTGGGCATTACATTTTAGGAGAAACATTTAGTTGGAGAGCATTTTGTTTGTGTGTGTGTGTGTGTGTGTGTGTGTGTGTGTGTGTGTGTATTACTTCCCTTCATGTATTCTGTATTATAACTAAACTGGCCTACTTGGTATTCACCAAACTTGGAATTCTGTCTCCTGCCTCCATAGCTTTGTGCAGGCAATCTTCCATTCCTAGAATGATATTATATATATGCTATATACATACACACAGACACACACATATATGCTGTATACACACACATATATTATTATATTATACATACATTATATATATATGCTATATATACACACATATATTATACACACCTTATATATATATATATATATGCTATATGCTATATATACACACACACATATACATGTGTATGTGTGTGTGTATGTGTGTGTGTGTGTGTGTGTATCCAGCCTACACAACATTCTGTCTGCATGTAGCTTGTAGCCCGCGAAAGGATTTCGGGGACTCCGAGAAAAATGCAGAGGATGTAGAATAGGCCTATATAATATACTGTCCTCAATGCCTGTGGGGCTGTACGTTGTGCAGGCCTCTTGGAATCCTGAGCTTCCTTCAAGGCTCTGCTCAGGCACCAAATCTCCCATGAAACCTTTCCTGATCCTCCTGGTGTTAATGCTCTCTCTTCAATTATCTTGTATTAACTTATGCTTACGTGCATCCCCAAGGAAAATGTAAACTCCTGGAAGGCAGGGACTTTTTACTTTGTATAGGATGTCATCTTTGAAAAAAAATATTAGAAGGGTCAAAGGAAGATCCACAGGGGACTCTATTCAAAACCTTTTACATTAGCATAACTCCTGAAAGATCTAGATAATTATGCCCTATGAAAATCACTTGCAGAAATTTGGCACACTGTCCTGAGAATTTAGGGGGACGTGACGGCTGTCTTCAAGCATTTGACTGTCAGATGGAAGAGGCTTTGGACTTATCTGCTTGGCCCTAGAGGGCAGAATTATAGCAGCAGTGGGTAGAAGTTGTGGAGAGGAATAGTTTGGCTTGATACAGGGAAAACTTGCTAAAAATAAGATATCTAAAAGTGGAAAGGGCTGCTTGTATGGTGGTGGGTTTCTCTTCACACAGTATCATCAAGCAAAGGCTGGATGACCATTTGTAAAGTATGCTACCAACTACATTCTTGTCCAAACCTGAGGTTCTGTGGTAAGAACTTTCAATAAGACATGCTTAGCACTCTCCAGCAATGAAACAGGCTGCCTTGTGAAGTATCAGGTTCATTCAGCACTGGAGACACTTGTATCTAGCTTATAGATGAGCTTCATGTGAGCTCATTTATGGAAAGCCTTTACACACTTTAAAGCTCCCTATAAAATTAATATAGCCAAGCCTAATAGCTATGATAGCAATTTATATAAGACTTCAAAGTTTGCAAAACACTTACAAATATATTTTATCTTCACAACCACCTTATGAGGTGCTGTTATCCCTATTTTAAATATGAGGATACTGAGGGAACCAGAGGGTGATTCTTCCTAACTCTAGGTCCAGTGTTTTATCCATTGCAACACTTAGCTGCCTCAATTTCTTGAGATTTGATGGAGGGATTTGGGATGAATCTCATACTAGATAATCTTGGAGTTTCGTATTAATCCAAAGATTCTGTGATTCTAAGATACCCTAGTATGCTATAGACTTCTTTAGTCACAGATTGCAACCTAGGACTTGTTCTTGGCTGTACAGGAGTGAATCTTCAGAGGGTATAAGGCTGCCATCTTTTAAAAGCGCCAGTCAGGCCAACATGTGTGTCGGTTGTTGGAGTCCTACTTAATTTTACTATTTTACTAAAGAGTTGGAAACACTCAGAATCCTCTTCTCCACCCTGGTACATCATCCCTGTTGCTCCCAAAGTGTTGTGTTTCTCAGGCCCCAATTTTTTTTAATGTTTTATTGATGCTTTTTAAAAAGTTGCTTCTACTTCCCAATGACTTTTCCCCTCTACGAGCCCTCCATTTTAACAACTAAGTACAGTTAAGCAAAATAAATCAACACATTCGCCCTGCCTCATAATGGATCATTAATTCTGTACCCTTGACTGGACCACTTACGTGCCAAGGTCAGCCCCCAGTTTCCTTCCCTTTCCGAAAGATTTATTTCTGGATGCCTGCTATGATTTCTTTGGGGGAGTGGTTTGAGGCAAGCGTTTTAACTCCTTGAGAGCAGGATTTCCCCCCCCATCTTTATATCCATATCACCTAGCACAGTGCTTAGCACTTGACACTGAAATGCTTGTTGAAAACATTTCTCTAAATAATACATTTCAGTACCATGGAGAGGCACCATGGTATGATGAGAGAGCAAGCTCTGAATTGGGTGGGAGTAAGACCTAGATTCGAATCCTGATTCTGCTACTATGAGTCACTTTTTCTAGACCTCCCTCAGCTTCTACTCTGTACAATAAGGAGTCTGGACTCATTTATTTACAAGTCCCCTTCCTGCTTTGGCATTCTATGATGGCTTCCTCCCAGCCCTGCTTTGAGATATTTCAGCTTTCCCTCTGCCCTGATCCCTCCCTCATCAATGTGCTCCCTTGGGACAGCAGAGCCTAACAAAAGTGGCAGGTACTGGGAGCCAACACACTCCTGGTCCTTCCCTTTTTCCTAATACCTGGCAGGAAAGACTGTGGGCTTGGCTCATGGGGGCAAGACACGTGATCCTGTGCCTGTCCCAATTTCTATTAACTAGAGAATATGTTTACCAAGTAAGGGAATCTGACTAGAGGCCTAGGGAAATGAGAGGGAAGAGCTAAAACAGTAACTCTAATGATGGAATTAGGCATATGGGGGAGAAAACTTGGAGACAGAGGAACCATATACCACATGTATTGCTACAAATTCCACCAAATTCAATGTCCTTGACAAGAAGATTAACTTCCCAGGTGGCACATTGGCTCCTACTATCCCACCTCACTCAAATAGCTCTTAAGAGCCTGGTGCCCCGCAGGCCATCCATGTTGGTAGGGTAGAGCTGGAGATATGAGGACACCCCAAATCCTCATTCACAGCAGCTGCTGAGTAGCCCCAAATAAGGTAGGTAGAATTCCAGAGAGGAGTAATCCCCATGTCCTTTTAACTTGACCCTTTTTCTGGGCAGATGGAGTGTTGGCATATGACACCTGTATGCATCACCTCCTGTCAGGAAGAGAGATGCAAGGATACCACAGACCTCAGCCTGAACCCCACAGAGGACCCAGCAGGCAATCCTCCCCTTCCCTCAGTCCTCCTCATCTGTCCTCCCAGCCCTCCCCCACCTCCCACCCTTGCACAGCTTGCCTATTGCCAAGCAATGTGGCTAATGCAGAGGTTGCAGCAGATTTTCCCCTTCCCATTCACAGCAGTTTCTTCCTATTAGGGATCAATGGAAGGTCGATCCCCCAGCATTGACTGACCAATTGGAGCCAAGCCTGAGAGACAGTGAGAACTCAGGATCATAGAGTTAGAGCTGGAAGGGACCTTGAAGGCCATTTAGTACAACCTCCTCATTTTAGTTTCAGAAAAGTGAGGCCCTGAAAAGTGAAGGGAAGACTTGCCCAGGGTCATATAGGTAGTATCAGAGATGGTATTTAAACCCAGGTCTTCTAACTCCACATCTAGCATTCCATCCACTATGACAGGCTGTCTCTTTAAGGGATTGGTACATAGGCAGAAGTGGGAAGGGAGACCTGCAGGCAGGTTTAACAATATATACTATTAGAAAAGAAAGGGGTAACCCTGACCCCAATACCCAAGCCCCTGATATTTGTTGGTGATCTCCCTGGGCCTTCTGGGAATGTCCTTTTGTAAACCTGGGCAGGAGGCAGGGGCCTAGAGGCAGACTTGAGGATGGACAGACCTCTCCCTTTATTCAGATGTAGGGCCTGCTGGTTCCCAGGCCTGCTCGACTGGGATTATCTGCCTTCAACACCATCTCCAAGGCAATAGAGTATGTAGTGCCTGCCCAGGCTGCTTGGACCACTGCCCCTGCTTCTCCTTTCTCCGACCCTCAGGCGGGAATCTTTTCCCTCTCCTCTCACTTCCCTGAGACCACAGTCGGACTTCCCTTCGAGGCAACTTCCTCAGCTGTCTTGGCATCCTGGAGGGCTGCTTGCCAGGGGGCATTTGGAGAGTCTGGACCTGTAGCCTCAAGCCATTCCCTCCGCCTGCCCTCAGAGCTGGGGAAAGGAGCCCTGCTGCTTGGGACTGCCCTATGGCCTCTCCTGGGCCCCGGGCCGGGTCCTCTTGCACATAGGACGTGTTGACTCCTCCAAGGCTCCCCAAGACCTCTTGGGCCTGAAGCCTGAGCCCTCGGGTGGCCAGGGCTGGGAGAGGGCACCCTTGGTTGGATCGGTGCTGGAGCTGGAAGCTGAGGAAAAGGGGAAAGACACAAGTCAATTATCAGACTGTGTGGCATGGGGTGGCAGAGTGAAAATGGGGGCACACAGCCCAGCCTGTAACTTCCATTGTGGATCAATGGACAATCCCAATATTCTATACAAACATGAGTTTCTGTGCTCTCTTCCTCTCTGAAAGAGCTTTAGAGGACAGGTAAATGTACACTTACCCCTCCCTCCCCCCCACCCCATCCCCAGGAGTTGGGACAACCTAAGGGATGATCTGAAGCCCAAAGAAGCTAAGGGGCTTAGTTAAGGGTCTTCTCACTCTCAAGCCAAGGCTTTTTGTCTATGCCAACAATGTTTCCTGGTCCTGACCCACACAAGGCCACACTTCTTCCTGAATTAGGAAGGGACACAGTGCTCTTTACCTGGGGTCTAAGGGAAAGAATTATGGGTCTCTTGGGCTCAGATTGGCTCAGGCCATGGTTGCGAGGTCACAAGGAGGCCACAAGAGGAAAAAGGCCTGGGACCTTGGGTGTCTACAGGGGAGACAAGGAAGGTCTAGAAGAAAAGTCTAGAGAAGGGGATTTAAATATACTCAGCCACATTCAGTTACTCACATACACAGCCAACACATACACGTGGCCCCAGTTACTATCCACAGACATAAACCACCAGTTCCCCTGTATATTCTTACACACTTCCTGCAATACATATTACATGTGTAATTATAAATTGTATATAATACACATGTTTGTGTACATGTAATATGTAGTAACAATATATATTCAATATATGTGTATGTATAGTGAATACATGTATGATATAATATACACACATCTTAGTACCCATGCTTCACATGCCTAAACATACATATGCAGCCACCACGAATTATCCCCATATTCACCTCCAATCAACACTTCACATAAATACACTCAGTCATCTCTCACATTCTCCACACAGATTCATATCTAGCACATATCCATACCACATACATCTTCATCCAGTTACCCAAACACACACACACAGACACACACACACACACAGTCACACCCATACATGACGCCCAGGTACCAATATATATCCAGTCATCCCCACATACCCCCACTACTCTTCAGTGCCTATGCACTCGGCAACACCCATACCCACATAGTCCCAGCTACCCAACAAAGCACCCTGTCAACCCTTCCCCCTGCCCCACGTAACTATGCATCCCTTGTCCCTACAAAATTACTGCCTTCTCTCTGTCCCACTCTGACCCATGACCCTGGGCACACAAGAAGATTTTTCTGCTCCCTGATCTGACTGGTCTAGCGTAGATGGAGTTTGAGAGGAGGGAAGAAGGATAGCAGTTAGACTTACCAATACTTGAGCTGCATAGACCTCAATGAATTCTTGCTACTCCTTGTCTTATGAGTTTCTACCCCAAACACTGCCAGTTCTCCAGGCTGTGCCACTGGAGAGGCTTCATGATGACAAGACACCCACCCTCCTTAAGCCCCCCTTTGAACACCCTGCTCCCCGGGATTGCTCCTATGTTGGCTGGGCTGGGGCACCTGTCCTGCTTTCCTGGAGTTCTGTCATGTGCATCCTCACCTGTACTCCCTAGGCTCTCCCTGGGTGGTTGGGGACCTGGTGAATCCAGGGGGTGGTTGGTAGAGCTCAGAAGGCCAGGAAGATCGAGGGCCCATGCCCCGCCCTTGGGCAGGGGCCCTACTCGTGGCAGGCAGCCCCCTGCCATTAGCCTCCCCAGCCAGTGGCTCTCGCACTGGCCGGCAGGTTGCATGCTGCTGGGCAGATAGAGTGCCAGGCTCCGAAGGTGACGAATACGGAAGTTCTTGGGCTTGCTGCCTGGTGGGCTGGGGCACTGCTGCCTCCGGGCCCCTAGGCCCCCCTCGTAGATGTTGGGGGGAGTGTCGGCACTGCCTGGGCAGCCCAAAGTCAGGTTCACTGCATCTACGGTGAAAACACAGACTCCCTTGAGAGGGGGAGGGGGAACGCTCTGGGTGAGATACCCAGGGGAACCAGCCAACTTTCTCTTCCAGCTAATGCCCTGGGTCCCCCTCTTTCTTTCCTTCTGTTTAGGGCTTAGTCTAAATAAACCTGAGTTCATTATAAGTCCTGCCGGGCCTCAGGTTTCCCTCTGTCAAGTGGGGTCATTCATCTCTAGATGGATAGGTAAGCCTCATTTTCCTCATTTTCAGAGAACTTTGAGGACAAAAAGAATAAAGACCTTTGGTGATGGGATGGCTTGAGACTTTAGGAGGCCACGGGGTTCAAGTCTGTGCTCACCACTTACAGGTCCATTCAAACTGGAAAGAGTTCTCTTTGGAACTACTAGACAGTGGGTAGCTACTAGAGAGACAATCCCTTCTTGAAGCTTTAAGTGCTTTCCATTCTATCCCTCCCCATCTTAGAGATGGACGTGGTTTAGGGACTATCATTATTTTGGTACCAGTTTAGAGGTGAGGAAACTGGTCCAGAAAGAAGTGATATGACCAAGGCCCACACAGCCTACTGTTATCTCTTGATAAGTAGCTACTCCTCAGCTTTGGTGGGCTTGTATCTAGCGCCGTTATTATGCTGATGGCCCGGGAGGATGGGACAGATTTCTCTTTTTTACCTCTTCAGTTCATCTCCGCCTTTCCCATCCTCCTATATCCTCCCCAGTACAATACCTTCTCTTATTCGCAGCTCAGAGAAAGCACAGACCAAAGCCTCCATTGAGGTCCAGTGTGGCTAGCTGGAGAAGCTGCCAGGGCTCCAACACCTTGGGTCCTCTCAAAATATCCTGGCCTAAAGTCTGGGGCTGCATGGCAACCCTGCTGAACAGCTTTGTGATGTCATAACTGGGAATACCACCCTTTCTTCCCCTGCCTGTCAGGGAGGGCCAGGGTGAGGATAAGGTAATGGAAATGTTAATCAAGTACCTCTTGCTGCCAGACTTACCTCCACTGACCCAAGCTTAGACTTGATCAAGAGTCTGAACACACAACAGGGTCTAGTGCCAAAGGTGAAAAAACACCGATAGGAGTCACATTCTCTGACTCTGTGGATCATAGACATCAGGAGATTTAGAGCTGGAAATGATTTTAAAGATCATCTATCTAGTTCAACCACCTTGTTTACAAATGAAGAAAATTGATTTTAAGTCACTTGCTTCCAATAGTCACACAGGTGGTAAGAGTTCCAGAACTAGGATTTGAATCCAAATTCTAAAGCCACCATTTTTTCTAATAACTATCATGCTAACTAGCTGGGTAACTATAGGTAAATCATACTTCACCTCTCTAGCCTCAGTTTTCTTATCTGCAAAATGGGAATAATAAGCCTAGTCTCTCCTCTACCTGACATTCCTTCCATTGTAGATAAAGATAATTGCCATACTGAGCCCTTCCCATCTCTCCTCAGCCACTTACTGGCTTAGGGACCCTTGGAAAGTCATTTAATCTTTCTGGGCCTCAGTTTCCTCATCTGAACTAGCTAGGGAGCTCTAAGATCCTTTCCAGCTCTAACTCTATGATTAACCCTGACTACCATGATTGTGGTCATCTCTTAGCCAAACTTATCGTAATTCCCCAAGAGAGATTTTTAGAGTTTTAGCATTTAGAGCTAGAACAGATTTTAGAGGTCATCTAGTCCAAGTCTCTAATTTTATAGGTGTGAGGCAGCTGAGAGCTAGATACATTAGGCAACATGCCCCAGATCACATAAGCAGTAGGTAGTAGAATCAGGATTTGAATCCAGGTCAACTTATTCAAAATCCAATGTCTATCCCATTACATTAGGCTTGTGTCCCTACTAAGTCTGCTCTTCTCCATGTTAAATATTCCTGCTACCTTTGACTGATTGACACATAGCATGGTTTCAAGCTCCTTCACTTTCCCCTATATGAGTTCTAGACTGTTAATGTCTTTCTAGAAAAGGAGCCAAGGAAGAGTAAGGAATAGAAAGGAGAACAAGGGCTCAGCCACGTGGTGTTTCTCCTTAGTTGCCAAAGGGATGCTCTAAGAAGTCCTGAGCCTTTAGCTGAATTGCTACCTTTCTCAGAAGAGTTAGGGTGGCACCCAGTGATCTCCACTCCATCCCCCATGCCTCCCCAAGTCATCCTGTATTGCCTGTATATAGATTTGAGATGGATGTTGTATCCCACCCAACCCATGGAAAATACATCCTCATTGAAGATCTATCTGGCTGAAATTTTTGCTTTGGGTTTTGTATTCTTAGCACCTAAACTACCTAAAACATAGCAATGGTAAATAATTGAATGCTGCAAATGGTGAGCCCCCACTTAAAAAAAAACAACCCAAGATGAAAAAACCCCACAATATCCAGAGATGTTAAATTAAAGTGGGGAAGAGGGTATTCCGTTTACAGAAGGACTTGGCTGTAAGATCACTGTAAGAATAGATTCCTTGGTAAGTACTTTTGCCCTGCTTGGAATGCCCTTTTTACTCCTCCCCGCCTATTCAAGTCCCCCTCCCTCCTTCAAAGCTTACTTCAAAATGCCAAGACCTTTCCCCATGCTACTCCCAGAAACACAAACAGCACACTCCTATCATTTCCCCCCTGGAGAATGACATTAAATGCTCAGTTCTTTTGTTGTTGTTGTTGTTTGTTTGTTTTTAAATTTTATTAATTTATTTTGATTTATCAATAATAACTTCCATATGCTTTTGAGTTAAAAATTTTTTTTTAAATTTTTTTAGGCACTTGGGGTTAAGTGACTTGGCCAGGGTCACACAGATAGTAAGTGTTTTAGTCTGAGGCTGGATTTGAACTCAGGTCCTCCTGACTTCAGGGCTGGTGCTCTATCCACTGCACCACCTAGTTGCCCCGAGTTTAAAATTTTTCTCTCCCTTCCTCCCCACCACCCTCCCCATGACAGCACACAATCTGATATAGGCTATACATTTACATTCCTATTAAACATATTTTCGCATTAGTGCAGTTGTAAGTAAAAATTAAAACCAATAGGAGGAACCATCAGAAAGAGGAACCAAAACTCAACAGAAGAGAAAAAAAATAGCAATTCAACTTCCATAGCTGCATGTGGGTAGCATTTTTCATCACGAGGCCTCTAGAGATGTCTTAGATCCTTGTAATGCTGGCAAGGGTTAAGCTTATCAATATTAGTCATCGCACAAAGTGGCTGTTATCGTGTATGATGTTCTCTTGGTTCTGTTCACTTCACTCAGCATCAGACCACACAAGCCTTTCCAGGTTTTTCTGAAGTCGGCCTGCTCATCATTTCTTATAAATGCTCAATTCTTAAACAGAGCTGAAGCAAGTATAAAAGTTCATCTTCCAAACAGGGAAAGTGGTTTTTCAGTTTGAGGTTTTGAAGCCTATTATCCACCAAGTGCAACCCTTTTTCTCCAGCTTGGAAAGAAATAAGCTTGTTTAAATCAGAAAGAAAATGTTTCCTCTTGCCACTTTGATTCTGCTGTGAATGATTCAGAAGTAAAGCGTTGAGGTGAATTAGAAGCTAAGTCACATACAGGATTTGGAATAGACTGAATTTGCAATCTCTTAAGAAATCAAATTGGTAATGGTAAAGTTTTACCTGACAAGGTGAAAAAATGCCTGTACGCTTAGAAGTTTCATTTTTGATCAAGCAAAGAATAAAATTATTATTGTAATTCATTTCAGTTGTATGAGAAAACTTCTGAAAGTGGGAAATAAAGATGTGAGGGACTGAAAAAGGAGGAATGAAGAAAAGTATAGTGCTGAATCAGAGTAGAAAGATATGCAACTTGGAAGGTTATAGGCCTTTAATCAAAGTCCAATGAAAGAAAGGGAAAAAATGTTAAAGGAAGATGGAAACCACTTGAACTGACAGAGTATATAGGATGTAAAACTCAATTAGAGGACAATATGAAGTATGAGTTTTGATTTCCCTCAAAGGGCAGAGTATAGGACTAGTGATTTTTACCCAAGTTGGGACAATAGAAAGTCCTCGTTTTTGTCAACTCTCAAAACATCTAGAACAGGCCAAAAGAAAAGCCTAGGATTTAGAAGAATGTTGCAGAAAAGTTTAAGAAAGTTTTAGATTTCATTTAGATAGTAGGAGAATAGAAAGATTTGCATGCTTGAAAATTTGTGGACTTTGCTTGGAGAAAAGCTTGTTTCCTTCTTAGAAAGTTAAAGCTAGTTTTGATTTTTAATTACTCTGTACTAGTTTCTAAATGCAACTAGTATAGAATAAAAAATTGGTAGATGAAATGATTTTTCCATGTAAGAATTTGGAAATACATTTAACTGGGTTAATGTCATTTAATAGCAATAAGTATTATTTTGCATCTATGGTTTAAACCTATGGCATTGTTTTAAAATGTTAGTGTTATGCTTATAATTTCTCCCATTATAATTTTGGAAAGCCATTTCTATAAGGAATGCTGTTATTTTATAACATCTAACTGTTACTCTCTGGAGGTTTTTTTGCAGAGCTTGCTTCTTGAGTTAAAAGCTATCTTTCATATTCAAATGGTCAAAGTTAACGTGTTACCTTGGGAAGTCACACTGTGAGATCTTGCCGACTGAATTTTCAATCTTGGTAAAATCAACTCTATGAGGAGGAAAAGGAGCTACTTTGGAAAGGGTATGTAAATATATTCTTTTGTGAATTTCACCCTGAGACTAGGGATAATTACCTTACTAAGCTCCTCCCCCAATACGTACAGCTAAGGTGGAGGATGATTTAAGTTTGCTTATAATGTAGAAATGATTTATATGAGGAATTGTGTGACTACTGATTATGAAAATCAAGAAATAATACCTGGAATAATATGTATTTAAGTTACATCTTTGATTTGACAGACCCCAGTTTAAAAACTTTTTTGGGGGGGGCAGCTAGGTGGTGCGGTGGATAGGGTACTGGGCCTGGAGTCAGGAAGACCTGAGTTCAAATCTAAACTCAGCCACTCATTAGCAGTATGACCCTGGACAAGTTACTTAATCTTTATTTGCCTTAATCCACTGGAGAAGGAAATAGAAAGCCACTCTAGTATCTTTGCCAAGAAAACCTCATACGGAATTTCAATGAGTCAGGCATGAAAAACAACAAACAACGATACCAGTTTTTTCTATGTATTTACTTTATGTATAAAACTCCAGAATGGGAATTTCTTCTTAATTTCTTCTAAATTGATTTTTACATTAGGGCATGTTTTAACTAAAAAAGAAAGGTAAAATAATGAATTGTGTTTGGAAAAACCTTGTATGTACTTAATAAGGACTGAAGGTATATGGTTTTTTAAAATTGCTATTTATTGTTATTGCAATATGAAAAAACAACAATACGCTACTCCAAACAGTAAGCAGTGGAACTTACTATGAAAGATGGAACAAAATATCTTGGGACTAATTTGATTTCCTCTGAGTTTTGAATTGACGTATAATAGTTTGGTTGTTAAGTTGGTACTTCACTATTCTTTTTTAGAAGATTTTATTATTTTCCCCAATTACATGTAAAAACAATTTTTAACATTCTTTTTAAAATTTTTGAGCTCCAAAACCCCCCCATAAAAATAAAATGAAAAATAGTATTCTTTGATCTGCATTCAGACTCTATCAGCTTGTTCTCTGGAGGTGGATAGCATTTTTTACCATGAGTCCTTTGGAATTGTCTTGGATTGCTATATTGTTGAGAACAACTAAGCCATTCACAGCTAATATTATTGTTACACTGTAAATGTTCATTTTGTTTTTTGTTGGTTTTTTGACTGTGCTTTCTTTTACAGCATGACCAATATATAAATATGTTTTGCATGATTGCCCATGTATAACCTATATCAAATTGCTTACTGTCTTAGGAAGGGGGGAGGGGAAGAAGAGAAGGAGAGAATTTGGAACTCAAAATTTTTAAAAGAATGTTAAAATTTTTTAAATTTTAATTAAAATTTAAAAATTTTTAAATTTTTAAAAGAATGTTAAAAATTATTTTCATGACCAAACAGGAAAATGATAAATGCTGGAGAAGATGTGGGGAAATTAGGACACTATTGCATTGTTGGTGGAGTTGTGAAATGATCCAACCATTCTAGAGAACAATTTGGAACTATGCCCAAAGGGCTATAAAACTGTGCATATCCTTTGACCCAGCAATACCACTTCTAGGTCTATATGCCAAAGAGATCATACAAATGGGAAAAGGACTCGCATGTACAAAAATATTCACAGCAGCTCTTTTTGTGGTGGCAAAGAATTGGAAATTGAGAGGATGCCCATCAACTGGGGAATGGCTGAGCAAGTTGTGGTATATGAATGTAATGGAATACTATTGTGCTATAAGAAATGATGAACAGGCTGACTTCAGAAAAACCTGGAAAGACTTGTATGGACTGATGCTGAATGGAGTGAGCAGAACCAGGAGAATACTGTACACAGTAATAGTCACATTATGTGATGAGTAACTTTGATAGAGTTATCTCTTCTTAGCAATGTAAGAATCTAAGACAACTCTGAAGGACTTATGATGGAAAATGCTATTTACATCCAGAAAAAGAACTATGGAGTCTGAATGTAGATCGAAGCATATTATTTGCTCTCTCTTTTTTTTGTTTCTTCTTTCTCATTGTTTCTCCCATTGGTTCTAATTCTTCTTTATAACATGACTAATGTGAAAATAGGTTTAATATGAATGTATATTTTCAGCCTATGTGAATTTATATGACGTCTTGGGGTGGAGGGAGGGGAGAGATGGGGAGGAAATTTGGAACTCAAAATCTTACAGAAGTGCATGTTGAAAACTAAAAATAAATAAATATTTTAAAATTTGTTTTTACATGTAATTGGTAAAAAATAATAAAATATTATCAAATAAAAAAAGAGAGAGAAGATTAAAGGAAACTGAGCCAGGTGCTGGCCTTTTTAAGCAAGGAAGGAAATGGACAGGGGATTGGTATACTACAGCTACCATAATTTTGACTGGTAGGAAAGTTTAATTATGTGGACTTCAAAAGAAGAAGACGTACTAAGAGAAGAAGGCAAAAAAGAGAATCTTGAAGTGACAATGGAAAATAGAGAGTATTCCAACTCCCTTTTCAGGACCAGTGTGACAGAGAGTATGAAACAAGTTACCACTAGTATGCTGGAGAAGATAGCCAGGGACATAGCATCATTAGTGGAGGAGCCAGGTCTTGGTGAAAAGTAATGGCTATCCTAAAAAATGGAAGGAGAGTGAGGTCCAGGATGAATGGGGTGTTTGTTCACTATAGAATGGAAATTCCAGACGGCACAGTGGAAGGAGTAGGCAGGGAAATGAATACGGCTGAATTGAGGGGGACTGAAATATGAGATAACATGGGGGCTGGGAGGAAGGAATATTTTTCTACTAAATGACTGCTGATTAATTTTTACAGAGATTGGGAGAAACAGAACCCACAGAGTGGCAGATGGGAAGAGACTCTCAGTCTTCAAGGAATATTGTAGAGAAAGTTGTGGCAGGGAGGTTCCTGTATCTGTTCCTTTACTTGGGAGACTGGTGGAAGGTACAGGGGTGGTCAGGGTTTGGCCCAGGGCCTGCTCGATGAAGGTGGCTCTAGTCTCCTTCTCCTTGTTATCTGACAAAGGGGACAAATCTACCCTA